CTCCTGTTGATGACATTGTGTTCCAGCTCTCTGGAGGAAGTAAGATAAACTTCCAATGGAATTACTTTGTATTTCAGTTGCTTGTCTTGTGAGTTCTGGAAAATAGTAAAGTCATCCATGGGGTCCCTCAGAGACAAATATGATCCCTGCTCTATCATAAATATATACAACACGTTTCCTTTACATTCTGGATCTATCTGTTAGCCATAAACAGTCAAGGAACTTCAGAGATTTCAGATGTTTTCAATGTAAAAATAAATGAATAATAGTTATTTATTCCGCCTTAAAAGGATAGGAAATAAAGACAACCAGAAGAAAAATCTAAAAACACTCACATTTTCAGAGTGACAAGAAAAGATTGTAGACTCATGAAAAGGGTGGTAAAGACCAGCAATTCAGGCAGCCTGAAAGAGACCTATTAGGAGAAAAAGCTGTTGTCTGAGAGGCTAAATCCACATGGTCCTTATAAGAAGTTTAAGGAGACTCCATACAGCAAGGAGGAAACAAGTCGTAAAAGAAAAATACAAGAAAACTGCTCAGAAATCTTAAAATTAAATGACTCACGTTTTCACATAAGAAATGGAGAAATAAAGTTGATTCTATGGAAAAATGAAGAGAAAATTCTAAAAATCTGTGCAAGAAAGAGGAAAAATTATCTTATTTGTAAACTGGGAAAAAGAATCACACACAGGGCTGGAGAGATGGCTCCATTGGTTAGGAGTGCTGCCCTTCTTCGAGAGACCCAGTTTTGATTCCCAGCACCCACAAAACAGTTCACAACCTTCCAAATACAGTTCCAGAGGACTTGATGCATCTTCTGGCCATTTTGGGTACCAGGCACTCAGTGATGCAGACAATCAGATAAAACACGTATAAATGTAAACTAAAATTATATAGAATTCTAAATATAAAATCCTAAGAATTCTATATTTATCAAATTCTTTGTATTAAAGAGATGAACAATTAAGTAAAAACTCCCAGGTGTTAGTGAAAGATTTATTTTAGCAAATTAGAGTTGTATCAGTCAAATGTGGCCTTCCATGACAAAACACCACAGATTGGATGGCTTAAACAACAGACATTCATTTCCTCTCAGCACTAGAGGATGAAGGTCTGCGGGGAGGGCACTGGTGGGGCTCTCAAGTCGGTTGCAGATGGTGTCTTCCTGTCTTCCTGCTGCGTCTCATGGCAGGGTGGCAGAAGGGTGCTGGGTCCTCTTGATGTAGGGCACCAGGTCTCTCTGACTAGCACTCACCTTATGACCTTTGTCCTCCCTTGACAAACGCAGTCACAGTCATCCTATAACAAGAACATCATGGATGATAAGAGAGGCAAGAAGTCAGAGGGGAGGCGAGGGGGATCCCCAGGGGCAGCACAGCCCCAGTTTGGCCTCAACCCCAAAGCAGAAGGCATCGGGGTGTGCTTGTGATCAAGAACTTGTAGCAGCGAGAAGCTGTGGGGGCTGGGAACAGACACAGCACAGCTTGGGGAGAGGTCATGAGTGCTGAATGCAGGTGAATGGCAGACGTCAGGATTTATTCCCGCACAAAAATACCAGGTGTGCAAGCGAAAAATTAAATCATGAGGCTTGACTTCAACGTGACACCTGAGTTTTTACTTTTCCCCAGAACGTTCCAGCTGGGCCACTTCTTGGAGCCTCACTTATTCCGTCTGTAAAACAGGCAGACTAGTGTCGCGGGATGCAGGCCTGCTCTTAGGCTGGCATGAGATGGCAGCTACAAAGCCATCAATGCCCATTCCTACTGCATCACTTGCTATGCATTCGCTGCAAATGTTAGTGCTGTGGCTGGAAAATGTGCTGGAACAATGGCTCTTCAAGGCTGGGTGTCTAGGAAAAGCACTGTCTGAGCAGACCCCAAGATTCTGAATACTTTCCTAAAGCACCATTAGCACCCCCATTTTGCAGATTGAGGGGACAGCCTTGGGAAGGAAAAATCAAGTGTGTAGACAGGAGCTGGCAGAGGCAGGTGTGCAGGTCAGTGGTGGGGATGCAGAAATCCACCAAGCTCTCTCCCTGGGCTGCTCACCTCTGAAACCCTGGTCCTATACTCCCTTCAGCCCCAGGGCCAAGCCAGGAGCTCGCAGGCCAAGCCAAGGCCGGAAGTTAGATCATCAGCCCTCCTTGAAGGCTCTAATTAACCGACTGTGAAAACATTGTATCCGACCACAGCAATTCCTCCCGACCAGAGAAGAGGGGAAGTCCGTGTTTTCATTACAAACGGAATCATGAAGGGGTTGAAGGCTTTAGGAGTATTTGGTTTGGTTTGGGTTTTTAATGACCTGAAGCAGAACTTGGCATCTCTTGCCCGAGTCCAGAAGAAAGGAAGTTTATTTTGGGGTCAGATAAAGAGTCTTTGGCTCTCTTGACTTTTATTTTTGTGGAAGAGGAAGGACTGGCTGCTTGCTCACTCTGGATCCTTCTGTCTGTTCTAGGCTTTCTGTCAGCTTCCTGAGCAGATTTCCAGGATGATGAGGTGGGTCCCTAAGAGAAAGGTGAGGAGAGAGAAAGACTTGCAAAGCAGTTCTAGGATCTCAGGAGTCAATGAGAAGATAGTGATGCCCGGGGTGGGATCCAGAGGCCATTTACTGCCTGTGTGACCTCAGTCAAGCCACTAGCCCTCTCTGATCCTAGTTTTCCCATCTGTATAATAAGAGTAACACCTGTGGCTTGTCCAGGGACGCAATGTGGTTTAAGACATGGCCTCCTTGGCTTTGAACCCTGGGCCCAGCCCTTACATACCATGTGAGCCCCTATTAACTCACCTGTCTTGTGGGGATGAGAGTATTGGACTGTGGTTACCATCACAGGACGTCACTTAGTGATGGTTAGGTACCACTTAGAGCTACTGTGAGCAGAGGCAGCACGGCCTTTCTGGTTTTGCCTGGAGAATGGTGGACCATAAAGCTGAGTTCAGGGTCTTATTATGAAGTGACCTGAATATTAGGCTAAGGAATTTAGACTCAAAGGATAAGCATTCAGGTTAAAGAGACCCAACAGGCCATTTTCAACCGGCTAAAGGAAACCAGGGACACAGGTGGCAAATGCAGCCTCTTTAATGTCCTGCTTTGGCTGGATTGTAGCCAGGAAGAGCACCTTCAGAGGCGCTCAACAGGCCATCAGTGGTACAGTCCAGTGCTGGTGTCGGAGATTCTTCTCACAGGTCTTGGATGAAAGCTTCTTTCTCATGCACATGCAAACACATTAAACCCATTGGTCCTATTTCAGCATGGATTAGCTTGTCAGGGGGCTTTGAGAGAAGAACGTTCGAATCAGTTCCGGTGTGGTTGGGGTAGGCACCTGAGAAGCCTGATGGTAACTTGGGGATGCCTCCATTCCCTTTCCTGAGGACCAAGTCTGTGTCCCTCACAATTCAGTCAAGGCATTCACAGCTTGGAGTTACTCAGTGCAGGACAGGGATTGTGCATCCTTTCTGACCGCTCATGATCAAAGAAGAGATGCTCCCCAAACTTGCCTAATGGGGTCTGGAATCTCAGAGGTTCACTTGCAAATGGGCCTGGTACTTGGGGGCTCAATCATGTCTCCCATCCTGAGACATTTCTAGGTCGTATTTTTATAGCCCTATTTGTTCAGATTGCCTTCCAGCTAGAGGATTCTTCTGGCAATTTATAAAGATAAATGTTTCAGAAAACAAGATGGTTTCCCTACCACTCCCCACCCCCACTTTAAGGAGCAGAGAAAGGTGGGACAGGGACGACACAGAAAGTCTGGTTAGGGTCCTGCTAAGAGCGGAAGTCTATTCAGCTCATCCAGTGCTGAGCTGCTCTGGACTGGATCCCAGGAGAGTCGTTTTGCCCATTCAGGAGGCGCAGGTTGGAACTGTATCCTCAACCAACTCTTGGACACTGTTAGGATGAGGCCAAAGGGCACAGGTGTCCCCTTGGTCAACACACCTGACCATGGAACCTCCCTACCGAGGGAAGGCTGCCTTCCAGAGGGCTTTTCTTCAAAGCATTGGCGGTAACTTAGGCTCCTTAACAGATGTCTGTGGCGCGCATACTTCAGGTAACCAGAACTCAAGAGGATTGGATCCTCTGCTCACGGAGCCTCCGCTGGGCCAAGGATGTTGGCACATCATCTTTTAAAAGTCAAAAGCCAAGAAGTTCTCTGGTCTCTCACCTTGATGCATGTGACAGAGGGGTTCTGGGAAAGGGGTGGGAGAACAGAGTCCAGCAGGGAACCCATCGGTTCCGAGTCCTTTTAGAGGAGAGTTCATGCAGGGGTCAACCCACAGGTGGATGGACAGCTAAGACTGTGCTGTTCTGGGAGTCCGCTGAAGTGGATAAAGCCAGCATCCTTATCCCTCCATGCTGGAGGCCACCCATAACTGTGCCAGGAAATACTCCTCTCTGGCCGAGTCCCTGCTCACGCGAGCCATTCACGCTGATGGAGAATTTATAATGAGCCATTTCACAGGAGAGGAAGCTGGGGCCAGGCAAAGCTCATCATATCATCAAAATCAATCAATGAGCAGGAGACAGGACCAGGACCTGAACATAGATTACCTCTTCAAAACTTGCGTCCTCCATCACTACACTCAGACACCTTCGGTTCCTGGGACCATGAGCTACCTAGCCAGGCCAGCTGTGGGATGTGGGGACCCGTTGGGAGAAAAGGGCAATTCTGTCATAGTCAGAGGCTCCCCTAGATACCCCTTCCCCCACCCTCATACCAAGTTAAGCTTGAAGGTCCGGGGCAAGCCAACGGCAAAACTGTGGCCTTGTGTCCCAGATGGCTGGAACCAGTGACTCACAGGGCAATGTGTGCTCTTCCTGAGATAAGGGGTAGCACCCCCAATTCCAGGGTGCCATCCTCTACCGCTGTGTAAGCTGGCCCCATCTGGACCCCACCTTTTGCTGCCCCGAGCCTCCCAGGTATCTAGCAGTGCCTGACACTGGTGGGCTGAAAGCAAGCGCTTTCTGCTTCTAGAATTCTCTGTCTTCCTGCCACCTGCAGGTCCATGGACGCTTCACACCAGAAAAGCATTGTGAGGATGAAGGGAGCATTCTGCCCCAGCTGAACTTCTTTGAGGACACATCTCCTGACTCTCCCTGTCTCCGAAAGCTCCTAATACCAGAAGCAAGCTGGGTCTCTCTGAGCATGCCAGCCTATCCAAAGAAGAAACTCGGGTGAGGGGGTGCTGGAGGGCTGGAGGGCTGGAGGTCTAGGTGAGTTTTTTTCGAGGTCTGGCTCCTCCAGCCGGGATGTAGGGCTCACGCTGTCGGGTTCTGTAGGTTGCAGCCTTCCCATCTGGGAGCTCTGGTTGTCTCTCTTTCTAATCTCAGTTTAATTGCTGTGGTCAATTTGCCCTGCACTTAATAACCCACAGCTTGGCGTATGGTTTAATATGGTTGACACACACGTTGCTTTAAATGTCAGCACTGGCTGGACCTGGGGACTTGGCAGGCTCCCTGGGCGAGATGGCAGCAGAGCGGCGTCATCTGCTCCGTGTCTGGGCTGCTGGTATGTTGGCTGAAGTTTCTTTTGGCTTGGAGACCCAAGCCACTGCCCAGGCTGAGCCACTGGCTGGGACATGCCATCTCCTGCCTGGATCATGGACTGCACAGCCAGGATCTACTCTTTTCTTCCTGCCTCCCAACCAGCAGTCCATGGGGAAAAAGGGTGCCCACAAGGGGGCCCCTAGCTTCTCTAGGAAGCGTGCTGAGTCCGGGCCTCACCATGGGCCGGAAGCTCCAGGACTTGTTGTAAGCTGGTCCTCAGTGTGTGTTTGTGACCAAAACCCTAGGGGTAGCCGGTGGGTAAATGTCACACTCTGGTTGAGGGACTGTGGCAACAGTCATAATGACAGCTGTGCCACAGTGGTTTGCCTGCCTCTTCCTATGGTCCACTCAGCCGGAAAGTAACGCGCTTTCTGACCATCCACTAATTTTCCTCACCTGCTTCAGAGGGACCGAATGGTCTGAGCGAGTGACTGTCTGAGTGGTTTCAGCTCCTTGGGGCTTTCTGCAGGAACTGCATTTCCATGCATAGGACAAAGGCCCCCAGAAGAGCTATTGACCATGGATGTCCCTGGCACCCTGGTAGGTAGAGACCTTGATTCAAACTGGACTGGGACTCATGTGTCCTGCAGAATAGGAATTTGAGACGAAACAGTCATGGAGGAGTCTGTGGGTGCCCCAGTTGGAGCAGCCATTTGCCCCATAGACACAATGGCAGTTGATTCGGCTTGCAAAGTGGGGATCAGTAGGAGACGGACAGAAACCTCCCCTCCAGGAAGGAGGGACAGAGGGCCACTCCACCCTAGATATCTTTCTGGTTTCTTTTCAGGCCATCCATAAGAAAGAATATTTTCCTGCCTTAGGCTTCTCTGAGGCAATGAAGCCTTAGGGCTCATCCCTCCTTTTCATCAAAACGGTTTGGATTGGCTGTGCCCCTTTCATCTGGGAAAGATGCCCTGAGCAGTGACCAGTGATGACACGCTTGGGTCAGAGCTGGCGGGGCTGACAGTGACCCACCCTACGCTGTGTTGATGATTTCTGGATGTCTTAGTTTCTTTTCCTGTTGCTGGGACGATTTCAAAAAATCTGTAATAAAAAGCAGCGTAAGGAAGAAAGGGTTTATTTCAGCCCACAGATCAAGGTTGAGTCCATCATGGTGGGGAGGTCAAGGCAATGAGCTTGACGCAGGAAGCTAGATGACATCCATGGTAAGAAGCGAATAGACACATGTATGGTGGTGCCCATCTCATTTCCTCCTCTTTTAAAATTTCTGTATGTATTTATTCTTATAATTACTTATTTAGTGTGTGTGTGCACGTGTGTGTGTGAAAGCACACATTTTGAACACTAAAGGGGTGACCATGGTGTCTGTGGAGGTCAAAGGACGTCTTGCAAGAGTTTGTTCTCTACTTCCCACCATGAGGGCTCTGGGGATTGGGATTGAACTCAGGCTGTAAGGCATGGCAGCAAGTGCCTTTACCCACCAAGTCAACTCACCTGCCTGCCTTTCTCTCCTCTTCTACAGACCTGATCTCTGGCCTAAGGAATGCTGTCACCCACAGTGGGCAGGTTTTCCCATATCAGTATACAGGTACAAGTAAACTTCTCACCGACCTACTCACAGGCCAGCCCAATCCATACAGTCCGCAGTTGAGACTCATGTCCCAGGTGATCCAGTCCTGACAAGTGACAGCTCAAGTTGACCATCACCCTGGGAGGTGTAGTTATTGGATGGGGTCTGTTAAGGCTCGTGTGGCTTTGAGGGTGTGGCTTTGAGGATTTGTTCCCAGATCTGAGACGTCCAGTGACCACTTCGCTTTGGTTTGGACCCCAGATCAGGTGACAAAACCCTTTCTCCAGCTGTTTCACACACTCAAACTGTCCTGAAGCTCCCGAGGGTGAGCTTGGGCATGCCCTCTCCCAGGGCATTGTCCCTGGGATGCCCCTGGGAGGTGTGGCCACCTCACTCCATCCTGGAGACGGCTTACCTTTAGTTAGCTTCTCCATCCATACCACTTCATGAAAATGTCTTCATGTTAGCTTATTCTTTTCAGAAGAAAAAAAATGAAAGCAAGAAGAATAAATATACATACATAACACGAATGCACTTTGGATTCCGCCTTTAGGTCCACTCAGTTGTAAAATGTGTGTTCAGAGTTTTTCTGATGGAGGGGGGACTCCCAAGGGAAGTGTTTCAGGTCACACATAACATCAGTGGCTCTGTCTACACTCCCTTCTCCCCTCCACCCAAGAACAAGCAAGAATGCCACTTCCCAGGGAACTGAGGTAGATAGAGTTCTTGCTGGAGTCGGTGGGTAAGGCCCACTTGTTCAGGGCTATGTAGAGGGTGGTGGTGTCCACAAAGCTCCGGTCAGGTCGCGCTGTTCACAGGCCTTGTGTGGAGATGGGCAAGCAGGTGAGGACTGATCCACTGGCCTGGGGTTGTTGCTTTGAACTGGGCTTATGGTTTGGCTCAGTAGAGACTTGAGTGCAAGGCAGAAGCTTAACATTGCCTGAAAATCTGCCTTAACCTTGGAGGATAACAAGCCTGGGGCGTGAACACAGCTTTTGGACACTAGCAGAGGGCAGTGACCTGCTTCTATACTTCTTTCTCCCGGTTCCCAGTAATCGGAGATCTACCCAGGGCTTTCCTCTCCTCTAGTCACCAGGCGAGCAGCTCTACAGGAAGGCTGCTTTCATCAATGTATAGACAGACACTCACGCTCAAGTAGAGCAAAGCCAGAAAGCTGGGGCGTGCTCAAATCTGCCCCCAGAACACTTGGGAGGCATGGGCAGAGGCAGGGGGTGCAAACGTTTGAAGCTAGCCTGGGCCACATAGCAAGACTCTGTCTCAAAATCAAATCAAATAGAAAAGAAGGAAGGAAAAAAGAGAGGAAGAGAGGAAGGGAGAAGGGAGAGAGAGAAGGTAAGGGAGGAAGTGGGAAGGAGGGAAGGAAAAAGGGAAAGAGATGGAATGAAGGTCTGGAGGACTCTGAAGTTTATCTATCCCTCACATCCCTGCTCCCACCTAGAGAGCCAGCCAGAGCGGGAGGCCGTCCCTCCCAGGAAGCAGCCCGGTATCCCCTGTCGTTTGCCGAGTGAGGCCCAATGTGGAATTCTGGCCGTTATGAGATGGTCCTTGAGTAGTGTGTGACACGGGCTGTTTCCACACCATTCACAGACACCTAAGTAAACAGACTCAGTGTACACACCGCTGCCATGATTGCTCGAGTCTCCCCGCGAGAGGAAAGTTTTTCCAAGTGAATTGACTGAACTCTAATAAGGAAACAGCGGAACACAGAAAATGCAAAACCGGTGAACGAAGCTTACTGCTGTAAGTTAGAGAGTGCGGCTCTGAGGCTCTTGGGCTTTGAATGAACTGAGCATGAATGTGACTTTCCGTTCTCAGACTTATTTTCCTTTTCCATAGATGAGAACTCTGTAGGATTCAAGGTCCATAACCTCAGTGTGTGCTTGGTCAGACTGTAGGCAGAGGTGGGGCATGCTGGGACGATCCAAGGCGCGTATGTATGTCTTGCTAGGAGTCGCTGGGAAAGGCGGGGAAGACATTTTTGGGTGGGAGGCACCAGGGAGAGCTTGGACCTGGAACTGGGAGTTCTCGGTGCTTAATTCCTCTGGGAACCTACCCAGAAGTCTGGGCCTCCCAAGTAATGAGATACAAATCCATTTAATTGAACATGGTTCTTAATTGCCAGAATTACCTGTAACATTAGCTTCTTTCACAGCTGTGCCCTCTCTTGGGGCTGGTGCCAGTTCTCTGAGGTGCATTGGGTCCGGGGAGCCCAGCCCTGATGAGTTGGGCCGTCAGCCTAAGAGCTCATTCTGTAATGAGATTCTGTAACCAGAAAGAGGTGGCCAGGGCCAAGAGGGGAGCCCACACTGTGGTGTCAATGGCCTCTCAACTTGAATGCCCTCTCTTCCCAGGAGCGTCCTACCTGTTTCTACCAGTCAGTCTAGCCTCTTCCTCGGGAAGTCTGCCCTGATTGAAATGCTGGAGAAATTAGGATTTTGTTGGAACCAGAAGACAAGAAGCCAGGACCACCGCCAGTGTTCCTATTAGAATTCTACCACAATGCATCAAAGTACAACCAAGAAGGTCACAATATCACCAAGGTTTTTAGTGACCGGAAGGGGCAGGCCATGATCCAAATCCAGAGGAAGCTGAAGAAGCGTCGGGCCTGTACCTGTGCCTAAGATGGCCTGACCTCAGTGACTAGCACAAAACAATGAAAACACTCACGGAGGGAATAGAATTCAGTGGGAGTGTGTTTCTCTGGCATGGGTGACAGGTTCAGCCTCAAGCAACACACACACACATGCACACACTATCAAATGAAAGACAATAATAATTCAGATTCATTAACTACCAAGGAAATGCAACAAAAAAATGACGTGCTTACCCCTCAGCATGCAACTGGGTTTAATGTTTGATGGTTTAACATTGCATATTGTAGGGAACATACTTACTTCTATTTATCTTTTCGTTGGTGTAAAGGGTTGAAATGGGCCTTAGACATATCAGGCGACTGCTCCACCGCTGAGCTTTGTCCCTCATCCCAGGCGTGCTCCTCCTTTCTTGTTCCGGTGAAGAGAAATTAGATTGAGAAAACCTGGCAAGAACTTTAAAATTAAAAGTGAAATTGGTCAAGTGATTCCACCTCTAGCCATCTTGAACATGAATCCAGGCCAGTCCACAAAGATGCTCCTGATAGCTCCTGATGCTCTCTCTAATAGGCAGTGGGAACAGCCTAGCGAGAAAGAATTAAACAGTGTACAGTGTCAGGACAGCCGTTGTCTGCTGGGGTAGCTATCACCTGTAGGATTTAGTTTAGGTTCCTGGTCCCCTCATGTTGGCATGGACTCTCAGTTATGATTAAGGGTTATACAATGACTATTGCCAGTTCCAACAGACTTGAAGTCGACTATCAGACACACTTCTAGGTGTTTTTGAGGGGATTTATAGAGAGGTTTGACCAAAAAGAGGGTCCTACCATGAATGTGGATGGCATCATCTTTGTGCCTTTGATTCTAGACCGAATAATGAGAAAAGGAGCGAGTATCAGTATTCAGGCTGGAAGTCACGCCCCCCGTATCTTCCTTCATGTCTCTCTTGGGCTCTGGCAGCTAGGTGGTTCACAGTTGTGGGTCTGTCCCATGGGGGGCATTCCTTGGTCTCGGACTCTTGTTTCCTGTGTTACGTCTCTTGATAAGACTTAGTGTAACGATAAGAATATAGTCACTGCGGCTGTTAGCAATGGGAACCCTCGTCTCACCCTCAAGGTTGGAAACAGAAATGGGAAAAGGGGGAAGAGAGTGTGCTGCCATTTGGGTCACGGAGTCAGGGTGGGAAGAAGACGTGAGCAGAGACAGAAGCAGAGAGGGGAAGGCAGAACGCTGCAGGCTCCCTTCAGGCACACACAAAATAACAATGTCCATTTACGGTGCTGCTGGTGGGCAGAGCTGTGAGAGGCAGGGATTCCCGTCATCTGTTCTCTGCACGCGGTACCCAGAGTCCAGCTCTCCACAGATCTTTATCTTCAGCTTGTTGGACATCACGTGTAAACATCTTACGACCCGGAAACAGAGCTCAAGTCAGCCGTAAGTGGAAATCACTGGTTCTGTGGAAAATGCGGGGCTTTAGGACACGGGCACAGGTGAAGCCGAGCCTCTTGGAATGGTCCTTAAAGATGGGGTTCAAAGCACCGCCGGGCCAAGGTGGAGTGGCTGGCAAACAAAGAAGCTGAAAATTGGCACCGGGCACCGACAATGGCCACCAAGGCACTGAGAGCCTCTCAAGGAAGAACTCAGTCCATTGGAGTGTCTCTCATCAGCCTGCTGTTCACCGGAGCATTTCGGGAATGCTCTCGTGATCTCACAGGGTTATCAGCCAGGAGCGTATTGTTCTTTTCCAGCACTCGAGCAAGCACACACTTGACAGCCGAGATGATGTAAATACCAGACACATGGGTTCTGGGGCAATTTTACTTCAATTTTTCAAAATAAAGATATAAATTAAGCTCTTCTGACTTATTAGCATGAGTTTTTGTTAATTAATTAAGGGAGGAAACCCCAGACTTTACTTAAGTGTTTTAACTTTTTAAAATGTTTCCATGGAAACCTTTGGTGAGGTACCGCTGTTTCTGAAGCCTCATCCTGGCCATGCCCAAGCACTACAGATGTTTTTATGAAGAACTGACTAGTATTGAGACGGTCTTGGTATGCAGTCCTGGCTGGCTTTGAACTCCAGATCTTTCTCTTTCAGTCCACAGAATGGCTGAATTGTAGACATGTGTGGTAGCATCTACCGAGGGACTGATGTTCAGACAAACCTGTAAACATCAGGATTTCCCAATGGACAAGAGATAAAGGAAGGAGTCGGCAGAGGGCACAGCATAAGCAAAAGTGTAGAGATCTGGACCGGGGAGGTGACTCTGGGGCACAGGTCAGCTGAGCTCACTCAGCCTGGGAGCCTCAGTGAGAGGTTCGTGCTTCACCCAGAGGCAGAAGACAAGTTATCAGCAGGGAAACAAGATGTGATCCAGCTGTTGGAACTATCGTTCCTGCAGCGTTCATGGCAGCGGTCTGTGTGTGACACCAGCCCCGTGTAGAGGAGTTGAAGCTACACTGTCGCAGCTGATAACAGCTAAAGCTGGGGTTTGGGCTCAGGGTTATGTTCTCAAGCAGCGTATCGTTGGTCTCCTTTGCCTGCATCACAATGTTGGAGGATTTTAGTTGCCTTCTAACAGAGGGAAGCCGCTTTAATGTTTGCATTGAAATACACTCATTTGAAAGATAGCTTCATGGCATTATTGCCATTTACAAATCTTATGGTTTTCTCTCACCCCTTTCCAATACAGACATCTAAGGTGGAGGAGGCTTCAGAGAAAGGATCTAGTTATGTAGCCCAAGTAGGCTTTGAACTCACTATACAGCCAGGGTGACCCCAATTTGCTTTCCAAATGGTTAAATCATAGTCGTACATTGCCATCTTGGCACAAGTTTAACTGTAAATACATGTGTCCATGAGAGACTTGCGATCGTGAACTAGGGTCAGATGAGGAGGGGGGAGTCACACTGGAGGGTGGTCACACCCTTTAGAGTTTGGGTCACAGTGTGGTATAGTGACAGGTTTCATGAAAAAGAAGCCTTTGGGACATGCCTGAGGTCTGTGAGGTCACATACCGGGGACAGTCTCCCGTATGCATGGAGTTAAACTCCTAAGTGCTTTGTGGGGTGGGTGCCAGCTGAGAGGGTGCTGGCATGGGTCCAAGGACTCGCTGGCTGGCTTTGGGGAGATAGTAACAAGACCGGTGGCTTAGGAGCCTGGCGCTAGACTAGGAAACTTGTGTTCAGCGCTGGGGAATGGAAATCCACCGCTGAACACAAAGGCCCGGGAGATGGCTATTCCGGGCTTCGTGCAGGGCCCCAATACAGCCTGTAACTCGAACCCTGGAAGCACATTCGGAACGAACGTGACATCAGGATGCTTCACAGCTGTGCCAACAGGTGGATCAGAGACTTGAGTAGGTTTGGGTGCGGTGTGAGGGGTGAGTCAGGGTAGCCGAAGACAGTGGTCTGAGCTCTCTGGCTCCTGCCCCAGACTTTGGCTCCCTGGGCCCTGGTTCTCCATGCCTATCATCCCAGCTCCAAGTCAAGAGACCTTCACTGGCTATTTTTGTTCCATGTGAGAAAGCTTCAAATCGCAGTGGTTTATTGCTCTATCTATCTATCTATCTATCTATCTATCCATCCATCCATCTATCTACCCATGACATAAAGGGGATATCTAGAGCTAGAAATGAAATGTGTAAAAAGTGGGGTTTGTAACTTTAAAAAACACCCCGTCTTTTGACTAGGCACCTCTTTTGTTAAAATGAAACTTTCAGGTTGAGATGAGAACACGAATGTGGAGGAGACAGGGGGTTTACACTTAAGAGGAGGCCCGCAGGATAAAACTGGAAATCCCTCAAACTCAGGCTTTTAGAACAAAGCTTGGTCACGTTCGTTTCAGCCCACCCTCCTCTCCTCCACCACCTGTTATACGGGGCCCAGATTTCCCATCAGTTCCCAGGGCCTCCTGCAGCCTCCTGCCTGCCACCTTGCCATCAATCATTGCTGACAGCCGTCAGAGCACAGCCTGGCAGAAGTATCCAGCCCTCAAGGTGGCCAGCACTGAACCCCGAGCTTTCCCATGTGCCCTACAACATAATCCCAAGAGAGAAGGGGTTGGGGATAGGACTTGGTGCTTTCTGGAATTGGAGTGCAAGTGGGGGGTACCACCAGCCTATTGCAGAATCCTTCCTCCTGTCTCTAGATTTTGGGGGTGCTTCAAAAGATCTTAGAGTCCAAATGAAACCAGGTAATCACGGGGTCAGAGACTGCCAGCCTCAAGAGAAACATGGCCTGTTTTGAAATAGCCACAGCACACTCCCTGAGTGGCCACTAGTGGTAGACTGTGTTAGGAGTTCCATCAAACCTCTGGGCATATTTATACAATTAGCACAGACAGCGAAAGAAAAACAGCGTGGTGGTGACACACCAGCCATGTGTGCGCGGATGAACTTGTTAAAATAAATAAATGGCGTAGGACGCCTGCACTGGTGGAATTGATACAATCGCTTCTTATCAAGATGGATGGATGCTGGGCTAGTGGAGGTCCAGCAGCTGCCGGAAGGGAGTCCAGAAAGAATAAAGGTCATTATCTACCTTCAACCATGATGGCAAATTCCCTTCAGTGCCCATTCAGCTACAACCTGCAGCGCTGGCTTGCTTCGGGCAGGCCAAAGGGGGTAATGCAGGACCTGGGAAGCAGGCTGCCTTCTGCCAGGCAAACCTTTTGTTTTTGTTTTGATTTGGCTTGTTTCTTTCATCAGTACTGAGGTCTGAACTCAACTCTTCACAAATGCTGGGCAAACACCTCCTCTGAGCTACAGCACCCACTGACACCTCTGCCCCCTTCCTTTTTAATTCAAATTTTAATTCTTTTGATAATCTCATACATGAGTACTGTATTTACATCATTTCTACTCCTCCCTCTCCAAGCACCAACTCCTTCCATGTCCCACCTCTTCCTCCTCTAGTTCATGACCCTTTCTTTAATTACGTATACACATAGTAATTATGTATAAATATATGTCCCACTGAATCCATGTAGTGTTGTCATACTTACGTCTGTTTAGGGCTGACAATTTGGGCTCGGATTATCAGGGAACTGGTCCTCGGAGAAGATGGCTCCTCCCACTCTCTTCAGTCATTGGCTGCGTGTAGCTCTTCACTGGGAGTGGAACCTTGTGAAATTTCCCCCATACACTTTGACACATCAACTAACGTAGTCACCACGCAAGTCTTGTCTAGTTAATTATACTTTTGAGCTTTCACTGGTACAGTCTGCTTATCATGTCTAGAATTCTGGTCCTCTGGCTTTTACAGTTTTTCCACCCCTCTTCCGCAGTGTTCCCTGAGCCTGGGGGTTGCACTGTAGATGCGGCAAATGGAGCTGGGTACCCTACTGTAACTCTTGCCTTGCATTCCGGCCAGTTGGGGATCTCTATGATGGTCTCCACCTGCTGTGCCCAGCAGCTTCATGGATGATGGGTGAGAGCTACAGTTTCCTGTAGGTATAAGGACAAGTACTTAGAATGCAGTTGGAAATTACATTGGTTTGGGAAAACAGCAAGTAGTGGCTTCTCCTCTCGGGTCTGTGATTGCTCTAGTCATGGTATTTGGCTAGGTTTACAGTACCAAACATGGTCCCCTTCTATTGAGTGGACCTTAAGTCAATTGGACAGCTATTGGTTGACCAGGGATAAAAGTGCCACTATAATTGGAGCTAGCTTGCCAGGCCGGTCATTGTGATTCACAGACTTATAGCTGGGTAGGTCTATTGATGGACTTTCTGGGTTGGCACCTTGGGGTACTATGAGAGCTTGTCCTCAGGCAGCTAGTCCTCAGGGTGGAGTCTTCTATGTTAGTTCCAGCGTGATTCCTCCAAGGCTCATGTCTAAAGTGTGTGGTGTCTACAGCAATAGGGTTTTACCTTCAAGACCTGGCAGGCATCCAAGGGCAATGGAAGTAGCATATACTGTTTGGGGAATTTCCCGTGCAAAGCACCAGGGTTTTGTTCGATAGTTTGTGGCTCTTGGGAGCACGGGGTAGCTCGACTCTGTGTGCCAGGGCCTGTCATCATGGTGGGGAAACATGTGGCAGAGGACGGCTCTTCCCTTCATAACCAAACAGGAAGCAGGTACCGAGGCAGGAAGCAACCACAGATGACGTACCCCCACATGCTGATTTCTTCCGACTCGGCCTCACCTCTTGAAGTTTTCACAGCCTCCAATGACAGTGCCAGAAGCTGGGGGAGCAATCATTCAAAACATGGGCCTGCAGGGCTTCTGTTAATGTTCAGTCTGGGGTAGTTTGTCCTTGGATTCTGTCTGCCCTCCCCTTCTCTCCCACCGAAGAGATGCTTTAGGTGATCAGAGGCTGTGGCTTCCCGCTCTGTACCACCTCCACACACACTGGGGAGCCCAGAACCAACTGGATGTGCCACGTATGTTTGTTGGGTGAATGAATGAACTTCCTACCCGTCCTGGAAGTCAGCAGGCTGTGAACACACCAGGGCTCTACCTTGCCTGAGTCAGCCGGCTCTGACGTCACTGTAAGCCGGCTCTGACGTCACTCAGCATTTTCGTCTGGATGTAATCATCTGCCTCGGTTCCTGGTGGCTGTTTAATATTCACTCACCCATAAGCTCGTTCAATAAATATTTATTTCTTCAGGGTTTCTTATGTGAGGCAGTTTGCTGGTGATTCCTAATCGGGCTATTTTTTTTTTCCCCTTGTTGAATTTCAGCTGAGGAAGAACAAAGAAATGCCGGCACTTCTCAAGGCAGAACAAACCATCCAACAACCGCAGACCGTGAACGGCAGAACTGGTTTTCTCGGGGCTAATTAGTCCTAGGTCTTTTAATAACTACAGTCCTGGAGAGGCTTCTGAAGGCCTTTTGACTCAAGTAGCAATCCGGAAACTGTAGTCTTCACAGAGCAGCCTCTTCAGGCAGAACAAGGGCTCTGGACTCTGTGTTTTCGATGCTCTGATTTGACTGAGTTTTCTTCTGATAAAAAAAAAAAAAAAAAAAAAAAAAAAAAAAAACTTTAAGGACATTGACGGACACAGGAAGTATGTTTACCGCAAGCGCGATTCTTTCGACAGACTTGGTGACACACAAGAGGTGTCAGAATCAGAAGGCTTCTTTCTGCTCCAGACTCAGAAGGGGAGCTGACATCTTTTATCAAAAAGACAGACAATTCCAATCCCTTGACGATTCTAGATTATGGATCCCAGGAGGCTCGCCTTACACCGCGTCTTATCACCGGAATCAGAGTGGCTGCTGTTTATTTTCCGAACCTCGGCATGGTTTTCAAGGTGTTGCCTGCCAGCGGGGCCTGGGCCGACAGTGACATGTGTTATTGTCACATCGCTAGATCTGAAAGAAAACGCGAGATAAATAAATATCAGTGTCTTCTTGGATCTCCTTTCGCTGTCGTGGGCACCAGAGGTGCAGGCATTTATTAATTCTCTGATCGGCTGTTTCCTGGCCGGGTGCTCCTTTCACCTGATTGGGACAGAGGGAGGGGACAAAGGGACAGAGGTTGGGGAGTCTGGGCCCTAGGCTGAAGCTGGAGGGGTGAGAAGTGGGGGGGGGGCTTTGATAAAGCCCTCTCTGGGAGGTAGAGTGAGCCTGCAGGCCTATCTTACATTCTCCCCAGAAAACGGGTAGGTGACCTTCCAGTGAGGCAGAGCAAGCTCACTCACAGGGAGGCTGTACAGCTAGTTTATGTCAACTTGATACAAACTAGAGTTATCTAAAGGAGGGAAACTCGCTATAGAAAATTCCTTCTTAGCATCCGGCTGTAAGGCGTTTTCTAATTAAGTTGGGGGAGGAGGGCCCCGCCCATTGCGGGTGGTGCTATTTTTGGGCTGGTGGTCCCAGGTTCTATAAGAAAGCAGCCTGAGCAAGCCATGAGGAGCAAGTCCGTAAGCAGCACCCCTCCATGGTCTCTGCTTCAGTTCCTGCCTCCAGGATCCTGCCCTGTTTGAGTTCCTGCCCTGACTTCATCCTTTAATAAACAGTGATTTGTGGACATGTAAACCAAATAAACCCTGTCCACCCTAAGTTGCTTTGGTCATGATGTTTCATTACAGCCATAGCCACCTTCCTTAACACACAGGTAATATGGGTTGAGCCCCCCCGGGACTTGCTTGCCTGCAGGTCTTCGCATCCCCATTTGCGGAACAGGATTCTGAAGCTGCATCTGTCATGGCTCTCCTCGTTCTGATTGCAGTGCCTGGCAGAGTCAGCTGAAGGGAGGAAGGATTGTTTGGCTCATGAGTTCAGTCTGCAGTATTGTTGCTTTGCTCACACACTTGAGCAGAGAGCAGCGTGACAGGAGAAGCCGGAGGACCGAACACAACTGATCACACTCTGGTGGAGCAGGAAGCAGAAACGGCTGTAACCTTCAAAGGTCCACCCCTTGTCTCTCATTTCCACCAGGTAGGCCTGGCCTCTTCCAGCTCCATCAGTTGGAAAGCAGGTATTCAAAGCAGCACCCTGTGGGGCCAGTTCACAGAGAAGCCACGGTGGCAAGCTTCCCCATTCTCCTAGTCTACGGGCCAGTTTTTATGTCCGCTTGGCACAGCCAAAGTCATCTGAAAGGCGAGAACCCCAGTTGAGATGATGCCTCCCTAAGATCAGGCTGTAGAAATGTAAGAAAGGCATTTTCTTAATTAGTGGTTGATGTGGGAAGGCCCAGCCCATTGTAGATGGAGCTATCACTGAGCTGGTGGCCCTGGATTCTATAAAAAAGCAGGCTGAGCAAGCGACAGGGAGCAAGCCAGCAAGCAACTCCCCTCCATGGCCTCTGCATCAGCTCCTGCCTCCAGGTTCCTGTTCTGTTTGAGTTCCTGCCCTGACTTCCTTCAGTGATGAACAGCTATATGGAAGTATGAGCCAAATAAGTCCTTTTCCTCCTCAAGTTGATTTGGTCATAGTGTTGCATCACAACAGTTACCCTAACTAAGACACCTAGGTTGTTGAGGTGGCCCACGCTTTAAGGAGATTGCCTACCTCTTCTGGCTGGCTCCTGGCTCCCACCAGGTGCTGGGCACTCACCTCTCTCATGTTCTTGGTATCACTTCTCTTTCTGCCTTTGACTTCCTTTGGATCTTCTTATCTGGGTATCAGGAGGTGATATCAACACCTATGGACCATAGACCACATCTGGCCTGTAGTGCTACTGAAACACAGCTGTGCCCAGGTGACGCACTTGTCTGAGACTCTTGTGCTGCGGGGGCAGAGGCGAGATGTTGTGACACAAACCCTCCCTATGGCCACAAGTCTAGAAACACTCTCTCTGCCTGGAATAAAGCCGGCTGACTTCTGCTCCAGATGTTCTTCCGGGTCAATGGCACATGGATTCCACTCATTCCTAAAGACCCCGCTTGACTTCTTGATCTGCTCGGTGCCTGGAATGTTAATCAATATCATACTGAAAAAAGATTTCCACGAGCAAATGTGCATGGGAGACCCTACGTGAAAGAAGTGACGGGCATGTTTTTCCTGCTTCAGGACTCCTCAGGGACCTTTATTAAGGTGCATTCTGGGAATCTCCAACAGGGGAGTGGAGAGTGCGTACTCCTCAGTCTTTCTGGGCATTGAAGACCTGGGGCCCTCCTTACCAGATCATTGTGTCCCTCTTGGTGGTGTTCTCAGCTGCCACAGCTTAAGAATACTTGGCATTTTTATCCGCAACCAGAACTTCCGATCTAGAACTCTCCCTGGCTATCACGTACTGCTGTGCATTTCCTTCACGAATGTCTACTAGACATCTCTGCCCAACTGTTCTCCAAATTCACCGGTTCTTCTCTACCCATCAAGCAGAGAACTCGTTCTGATTGGTCGTTACATCCTGCTCCTGACCGGTCACACTCTGTGTCTACTATGTCAACATGTCTGTCCTCTTGGTCTTCAACACCCACACTGTATGAAGCCGCTGTTCACCATTGTGTCATGTCAGTCCAAGTCTGAACCACACTCCCCTCGCCTGGATTCCTCTGACAGCCTCCAGGGGGACTTCCTGCCCTTGCTCTCACCCCTGTGGCTTGCCTTCTGTGCACTGAGATTCCCCTGAAACTCTCACCCAGCCATGTCCTTTCAGGAGAATTGTTGTTCTCCAGGGATGGAGCACTGACTTACCTAGAGTCTTCCAGGCTCTATACGATCAGGCCTCCACCCACCTCTCAGTTCCAGCTCAGCTACTTCAAATCCGTGAGCTCAGGGCCTTTCATGTCATAAACCATCTTACAAGGCTCGCTGCCATTCCGTAGTCTACTCTCTGGCAACTGCCTCATCTTTTCAAGGATTCTTTGATATCTCTTAAGTCTAAACTTCCTGGGTCACCGGGAAGGCCTTTGCCGGACAGCATCACACTCCAGTTTCTTCCCAGTGTTACTCCACTTTTGCGTCTTCATAGATCTTGCTGGAAGCTGACATTACCTTACTTCTCTTTTGCTTCCCTGGTTATTTTGTTTCCCACCATGTGCAAGCTTTGTGGGGGTTAAGGCCAGGCTGGTCCTGCCATTTTCTCTCCTACTACTGGGTACCCACAACTTTACAGCATGGTGTCTATTGGAAAATCACTGCTTGCTGTTGGACTGACTCCTAAGCTTCCTTGCCGAAAGTGCTCTGTGTCCCAGTGTCTTACACTGTTGCTGTGGTAGCAGCATGAGCAATAGCATTTGACATCCACTGGGATGCCTTGTCAGGGCCTTGCTGCAGGCCTGGCCCTCGGTGGCTTCCAGAGAATTCTTCCTGCGAAAAGGAAGAGCTCTCAAAGAGGAACCACGGAAGCTCTACTTCCACAGGTGGGGAAACAATGTCACAGTGATTCACCCTGATGACCAGGAGATTAAGCATCTCTCATAGTTCTGGCTCTGGGAAGGTCAGGGCCCAGGTGCTAGGAGACTCCTGTCTAGGTGTGTTGACGGCATCTTCTCTCTGGGGCATCGCACAGTGAAGGGGTGTAAGTGCTCACGGAGCCTTCTGGAAATACACTGGGGTCCTTAGTCTCACACGTGAGGCTTCATTTTCATGTCTCAACCATTTGTCAGTGACATCACTAGGACCGGTTCCAGAGAAGGAATTGGGGGGTGGAGTGGCAAACATTCAGTCCAGAGCCTGAGTCTCCGTGAAGCCACACTATTTGTCTAGGGTTGTCCTTCTCTTGCGTGGCAGGGCTGCAGGTTCTGAGTTTATGAGCAGGGACAACACCAGACTTTATCTGCTGTGGGTTGGAGGTTGGTATTTGGCTTCTGGGGGTGAACTTTCTGGGCCCAGCTTGAACACAACTCTGACTGGCTTCCGCCTGGGGCCAGGGCTCCATTCACTTCCATGTGCAAAACTTGGAACAACGCTCAGCTGGATCACAGACCGCATCTACGTGGGGCACAACCAAGCACACTTGCGTAGCTCCCTTGCTTGCTTGTCAGCGGGTTCTGCCTAGTGCTGATAAGTGAGTTGTTGTCTGCAAGGCGCTTACTTCCACAGCGCCTGGCCCACAGTGTGCACTGTGTTCTAACTTGTGCTGCAGGAGAAGGTCTTTCTCCAGGATGGAGCTCTGAGCCAAAGGAGGACTGCTCCAGTCTGGCTGAGTCCTTTCCGTGTTGTATAATTCTATTTTAAGGTGTGTGACTTTTGTTCATGTTGCATTTGTTTAACTCTGTGAAGCTGTGGTTCTTTGCCTGTCTAAAACACCTGATGGTCTAATAAAGAGATGACTGGCCAATAGCAAAGCAGGAGCAAGGCTAGGTGGGGCAGGCAGGCAGAGAGTAAATTGGAGGAGAAATGAGGAAGAAGAGGGGCAAGGAGAGAACAAGGATATGAGAACATCAGGAGACAGCCACTCAGCCACAGAGTCAGCCATGGAGAAAGAAGTAAAGAAAGATATACAGAAGTAGAGAAAGATAAAAGCCCAGAGATGAAAGATAGATGAAAGAAAGATAAATTTAAGTTAAGAAAAACTGGTTAGAAATAAACCAAGCTAAGGCCAGGCATTCAT